TACATTTTCAGTTAATAAAAATAAAATCTAAATAGCATTTACAATGGCGTTTTTATTAAAGATTAAAATGTGGGAGATCATTTTGCCGGACCCTGTGTATATATATATATATATATATATATAGCATATATTATTACACTTTACCGGGATATACGTGGATATACGTGCTATGTTGCAATACACTGGTATTCGATTCGAATTACTCACTGACATCGATATGGTGATGTTTGTGGAACATGCTATACGCGGTGGTTTAAGTCAATGTTCACATAGATACGCGCAAGCTAATAACAAGTATAATGCATCTTCGTACGATCCTTCGGAACCGTCGACGTACCTCATGTACTTCGATGTGAATAATTTATACGGTTGAGCGATGTCCGAATCCTTACCGTACGGAGAATTTCAATGGGTCGACGACATCGAGCGCTTTGACTTAATGTCTGTGTCGTCAGACTCCGTTATCCGTTATATTCTAGAAGTCGACCTTGCGTATCCGCAAAGCGTTCATGACGCTCATGCTGACCTTCCATTCTGCCCCACTTGCGAACGACCTCCCGGAAAACGAAATGATAAACTGCTGGCCACTCTTTACAATAAGGAGCGCTATGTCGTGTACTATCGCAATTTACAACAATGCATTCAGCATGAACTATACGTGAAAAAAATTCATCGAATATTACGATTCGCACAATCCCAATTTCGCGGATATATCGAACTTAATACGAGATTTAGAATGCTCGCGAATAACGAATTTGAGAAGAATCTTTACAAATTGATGAATAATGCGGTATTTGGAAAAACGAGAACGTACGCGATCATGTTGACGTTCGACTTATAACGCGGTGGGATGGGAGATACGGTGCAGAAGCGATGATAGCGAAACCGAATTTTCACAGTAGAAGTATTTTTTCTGAAAATCTAATTGCTGTCGAATTGCGCAAACTCGAGGTAAAATTGAATAAACCGATATACGTAGGTATGTGCATTCTCGAAATATCTAAGTTGCATCTATATGAATTTCACTATGAGTACATAATACCATTGTATCGCGATAAATGTAATATTATGTACACGGACATTGACAACTTGATTTATCTTCTGGAGTGTGAGAATGTATATGAGGACATCAAGCGTGATATCGCGAGATTCGACACGAGTGATTATCCTGAGAGAAATGATATTCCACGCATTAATAATAAAATACCCGGTTTGATGAAAGATGAAAATGATGGTGCGATTATGACGGAATTCATAGGACTCAGAGCGAAAATGTACTCATTGAGAGTGATCGGAAAGAGCGATACGAAAAAAATAAAGGGTGTCAAGAAAAACGTAGTCGCGAAAACGATCACTTTCGACGATTATGCGCGATGTTTGAACGATGTAACGATACAGTCGAGACGTCAGTCGTGCATACGATCGACATTGCACGAGGTTTACACAGTGTCTGAATTGAAGCTCGCTCTTAGTCCGTATGATGAGCGGTACGTCATACCTGAATCGGTCACTACTCTACCTTGGGGACATTATAAAATACCTCTGTAATGTGTGTGTGCTGTATTTTTATTGTAATAAATAAAAAGTTACAATACATTCGTTTTATCTATCCAAGAATTATGTGAACTGTCCATTCCTAACCATTTCACGTACACTTTATTTCCTCGTTTGCGTAGTATTTTTTCCACAATATAAACGTCAGGATTAGAGACTGATTGTAATTCGTGTTCGTAGAATCCACCAGCTGTCGGCTTCCTTTGATAATCTTTCAGTAGATACGTTGCAGGATTCGTACGTTATGTTTTAACGATGTAGAAAATCTCAGTGGATCAATTAGGTGTAACCCTTTTCAAAAATTGTCTTGAATTTACTAATACGTACTAATACTAATATTTACAAATACGGATCGTCTATCTTGAACCTCGTTGGAGCGGCAATTTTTACATGACTGTACTAGTATACTGTCGACAAGAGTCGTTTTGCAACGACGGATGTTACGTCTATCGGTCGCATCCTAATAGTTCGATGTTTACGATGATTATAATCTGACAATAGACGCGGTAGCTCGTCGATCTATTTGTACGAGTCGTTTAACGTAACATTTTCCACATATTATTCTTGAATGTACGGTTGAATCATTCCACTACCGACGCTTTCATTACCGAGTACGTCAAATAATGATTTATGTTGTACTTCTTCACAATGTTTTTTTGCACAATGTGGTGTTGTAAAATTCCTTTTCTTGATCCGTCTGCAGGTTTCTTGGGGTATCGTTCGTCCTCGCGAAAAATTTTAGATAACGCTGCGGCTACGTCGCTTCCGTTCTTGCTCTTGAGTGGTAGAGCCCATGCATATTTACTCAAAACATCGATAACTGTTAAAATGTAATTGTAACCTTTGTTAAATTGCGCGTAAGGACGCATCTCGACTATGTCGACTTGCCATACATCATCACGATCGTGCACCACGACGCGACGACGTGGAAAATTTCTTCGCGCGGGTGCATGGAGTTCTTTCACGAGTTTTCGTTCCTCGACACTCATCTCTCTCTGTTATGACAGAAAACGAGCTTTGCGCATATCTTTTAAACCTTCCTATTCATATATGCGATAACTGTAGATGTTTTTAAATACTTAGACATCTCGATTCAAATGCTGAATCTCGTTCTCGTTAAACGTTTCGTTGATATTGTTGACTCAGATCACTTATCAAGTGTACAAGTATGAAATGCGGATTTTTTTTCCAAAAAAAAACACGTTAAATTCGGAAGAATGATAAAAAGAGCTTTATTCAAAGTATGCTCCATTGCTAGTTACACATTTTTCCCATCTTTCGGGCAATTTGTGAATACCACGCCAGTAAAAATCTTCCCCCTTTGCCGCGAACCATTCATCGAGCCATTTTTTCACATCTTCGTTGGTACACCGTGATGCAGCATCTGAATATCGTTAGACACTTTCTGAAGCGCGAGTACGATCATATCTTTCCCTGTCGTTTTAAATGATTTCTCTAACGTCTCCTTCGTCACCATATTATTCATTTGTTGACGCAGGTCCGTTACACCTCGATTTAGATGCTGAATCTCATTAGACACTTTCTGAAGCGCCAGCACGAGCATATCTCTCCCTGTCGTTTTAAATGATTTTTCTAACGTCTCTTTCGTCACCATATTATTCATTTGTTGACGCAGATCAGTTACACCTCGATGAATCTCGTTAGACATTTTCGTCAATAATGCACTTACACTTTTCGAGACTTCCTCCACGTTGTTTCGCACTTTTTCCACATTGTTCGAGATATCTTTCTGCGTATCCTGAAGCGCGCGTACGATCATATCTCTCCCTGTCGTTTTAAACGATTTCTCCAATATCTCACTACATTTTTCATTCGTACAGTTACATCTCGATTCAGATGCTGAATCTCGTCAGACATCCTCGTCACGCTCTTTTCCACGTTTCTTTGTACCTTCTCCATCGCTATGCACTTCCTGTGTTTCTCTCCTTATCGTTATAAATGATTTCTCGATCTCGTTTCGCGAATCTCGAAGTGTACGTTCGACGTAGGTTTTGTTTACCACATCGGTGTCAAATTCCGGTGCAGCTACGTGTTCTATTTTTCGTTTCTTCGCGTCGTAATGATCCGGATTCAGACAGAGCCCATTGTTATGTATGTAATTTCGTAAAGTTTCTATCGACGATCGCGACTTTTCGATTTCGTCTCTCCTCATAGGCATACCAAATTTATTCACAGACATCATATCGAGTTCGCGCGAACCTGACTACTGTCGCGGTTTTCGTCACAACGATTCACTTTATAATTAAACTCAGTTTCGCGAAGTTCTTCTTTCCATTTCGCGACGTATTTCGCGAAGCAATTGTAAAATATTTTTTCCAACTCTTTATTCGTCACCACACCTTGAAGTCGTTCTTTAAACGATTTCTCTAATATCTCATTAGTCACTACATTTTTCAGTCGTACAGTTACATCTCGATTCAGATACTGAATCTCTTTTCATGCTTTTTCGCATTTTCTCCATATCGGTACGCATTTCTTGTGTATCTCTCCTTATCGTTCTAAATGATTCCTCGATCTCGTTTCGCGTATTTCGAAGCGTACGTTCAACGTAGCTTTTGTTTACATATCGGTGTCGAACTCCGGCGCGGCTACGTGTTCTATTTTTCATTCCTTTGCGTCGAAATGATTCGGATTCAGACAAAGCCCACTGTCGTGTACGTAATTTCATAAAGGTTCTATCGACGATCGCGACTTTTCGATTTCATCGCTATCATCTCTCTTCATAGGCATATCAAATTTATTTATAGACATCATATCGAGTTCGCGCGAACTTAACTACTGTCGCAATTTTTGTCACAACGATTCAATTTATAATTAAGCTTATAATCCAGCATTTATAATCCAGCTTCGCGAAGTTCTTCGATTATCGACAATATTTCGTTGCCGTGAGCGTTATTACCCGCTCGACGAGAAGCATTGAGCAATTGAAGACGATTCACCAACTCGTTGGGATCGTCCCAATGAACGTAATCTATTTCATTGTCAGTCAATTTCGCAGCGGATGGTATATTTGTCTTTATACCTGAACCAATACTCGTGCCACTGGTTTTATGAGTAACTAAGAGCGGGGTAGTAATGTTTTTGTATTTGTGTCCCTTGTTACTCTTAATAGGCATTCTGGCGTTATTGTCACGTCTGTGAGCATTCGTCGTCAATAATATATGTTTGTACGTTTGTTTATCATTCTCGGTGTAGATAGCGTCGTTTGGAATCTTCTTGAAGATCAGCTCGTATAGACTGGTGTACCTTTGTACCTCACTCCGTCTATGATTATAGTGTCGTCCGTATCTACGTCAAATTTTTTATTACCTAACATCGTACCGTTTTCATCAAAATAAACACCGTAAACAAGATCGATTTCGTTTCTTGCATTACCAGTTAAAAGAGTATTCACATATACTGGTCCTAACTGACTTTTTGCAATCTCTGACCTTGAGGTGTGCTCAACACCTGTCTGACAGATGTTTCAAGCAATGGACCATCATCGATTTTAAAAACTTCTTCGTCCTGCAAGTCAAAAGGAATTACTTGTTGTTGTTGTTGTTGTCGTTTTTGTGATTCTATTGGTGTGGAATTATGGACGAATCAGGCATGACGTTTGATCGTTTCTTTTTTATTTATTTGTTCCATGGAAGAAGCTGGGGAATAATTTATGTTGGAATTGCATCATTATCGTCGTCGTTGTCGTCATCATCATCTTCCTCATCATCGCTGTATTCACGTTTATTCTTTTGCTCACTCTCCATAAACTTAGTTTCAAATGGTTTACCTCCACGTTCAGTATTTCTAGCAATTTGTTTCAATGATTCGATAATAGGTTTTAATTGTTTCTCCAGAACGATCTTATTCTCCATTATGCCGTATGCAGTCTTCAATGCTCTGTGTTTCTTACGAATCGACGCGCGTGTCTTTGCGATCAGTTTCGCTGTTTTCTCCTGTTTAGAGATACTTTTTGACCATCTTATCGTAACATCAAAAAAGTACTGTTCACTTTTTTTCACAAAATACTACAAATGATTTACACTACAGCGAAATCGTTGAATCCGCGTCTATATCTACCGTTATGTAATGCGCTATCTTTGTCTATTACCATAAAACCGTATTTGTGTTGCCAACATAAATGGCATAACGTGTAAAAATTCTCATACGATATATCAGTGTTCACATGATCGTTATAAATGTGTTTTAAGTTAGTACCATCTTGTTTAAATAGAATCAAAAAATTTGCATTATCGCGTATCAAATGTTTCGGTATTTTTGCATACGTTTGACAGAGATAAAAACAATCAATGTTCGTATGTCGACCCATAGAAAAATATTCTATAATAGTATTCTGATTATCACAAGCCATATCATCGAATACGAATATTGAATTGGGAAGTGCCTCCTTCGGTGGTATGACGTCACGATTGTTGGAAAATGCGTAGTAGCCGATACCATTTATCGATTCGAGTAGTTCTTCCAAATATCGATATTTCGATTGAAAGAGAGATTTCGAATACACGTATACGTTTTCGAAACGTACACCATGTGGACTTTCTATCAAACTTATCAAAGCTTTCGTTTTACCACAGTTGGACGGTCTACAGATGATGCAACGAATTGTATTCGGTAGTAAAGGGTGTCTATGAATCTCTCCAACCGTTTCATCAGACATAAGTCGCGTTTTGCGGTCGAGATTCGACACTCCTTTCACTCGTGATTGTCGTACGAATCGTATCTACTCATGTAACGCGCGTGCGCGATGTAACGCGAGCGAGTTTTTCGGCACTATTTATATCCCCGAGGCGCTCGATTCGCACAGTTTACTGTAAAGAGCAGTCGTTGTTGTTATCGCAAAAATGTTTTTCTTACTATCGGATAAATGTGGGATTCTCGATTTTACCGCCGAGTAATTGCAATACATACCGAAGATTATTCTTCTACAGGAATTTGAGAATTACGTGGAGTTACTGTGGGATCGATTACCCGAACACTTAAAAACGGATCCTGAAGTGCAATACTGTCGTCCGTGTATAGAGCATTACAATCGTTCGTGGCAACGAATACACATAGATGGTCCGCCACCACTTATCAAAAATTGCGACATATGTCGCTGTTGTATGGAATAAGATAGCGTGGGGGGGGGGGATAATTCCTGCGTATGATGTAGGTTTACTTGACAAGGCAATAAACGCGCTTTGAAATACATATACCTGGTTATCAATTTTGTGGACCCGGTACTCGTCTCGCGAAAAGACTAGCGCGTGGTGATCGAGGTATAAATCGATTAGACGCGGCATGTCGCGAACATATCGCCTATTCGCGAAGCAACGATCTCGCCGATCGTCACATTGCCGATCGAGTTCTCGCCGAAAGAGCACGCGAACGTATAACAGTGAGTGATTCGAAAAAGTTGCCGCAACCGCTGTATGGGCAGCTATGAAAGCAAAAACGAAATTAGGGATATTTGGGTATGAAAAGAAGAAAAAAAACGAAAAGGAAGAGTAACGACTATTTCTGATAACGAAACGTGGAGGTTTCCTACCGATTTTACTAATGTTAGGTGCGCTCGGATATTTGATCGGTGGAGCGGCGAGCGTAGCGAGAGCTGGAAGCTATCTCAAAGCCGCTCGACGTCAGAAAGAAGGTCGCGGACTGCGGATTTAGCGCCCTACAAACGTGGTGGTAGTGTGACGAAAAGAAAGACAAGAAGTAAAAAAAAACATCATAGAAGGAAACGTTAGACTCTTAAAATATCGCTCTCCGGTATCACAACGAACGAACAGTTGAGCCATGCGGCGTATCGTTTGCGTTACCATTCTTCAGAGGTGTGTTTATGCGTGACGCGTTACCGACGAAACCGCATCGTAATGAAAGCGGTATCGTAAATCTCGATAATTCGGAAAATGCGGGCACACACTGGGTTGCTTATGCGAAAAAAGGAAATAACGCCGTTTACTTCAATGGTTTTGACAATCTTAGACCGTTAAGGGAACTCGAACACTATCTTGGAAGCAACGTAACGTATAATCATCGCTCTTATCAAACGTTCGATCAGAGTATTTGTGGTCATATCTATGATTTGTGGTTGTATCTATGATTTCTTCGAGAAATAGATTGGAGGAAAAAATATATCTAATAATATGTCGTGTGAGTCATCTCAGTTGAGCGTTTACCTTCGATTACATCATGTCGTTGACTCTTACGTTGATTGAACAACCAGTATCCTCACGGCGAGTTACTTTCCTATGTTGGATTTAAGTAATGGTAAATACGAATTAGGTCTTACGAATTTTGAAACGTACAACGCGATACCGAATGTTACTTCCACGAATAATAAATTCTACTTCGATACCGACGATAAAATAATCAAGATTCTCGAAGAATCGTACGAATTGAGTGTTATAAACAAGTATCTGAAAGCTGCTATTCGTCACTTACGACGACGAACACTTAACGATAAAGATAATAATGACGATGAGTACATATTCGATGACGACGACGGCGACGATAGTACTCATAAAGAAAAGATATTGATTCTTCCAGCCAACGAGAATACTATGAGAAGCGAGATCAAATGTGCGTACCAAATAAATTTTACGATACCGAATAACAACGGTTCGCTATTAGGTTATTCGAAATCTCGCGTAATACAACCGAACAAGTAATACGCGTCTGACAAACCTGTAAACATTATGAATGTAACTATAATTCGTATAGAATGCAACATTACTTCGGGTGCGTACAACAACGATAAACCAGCGCATATGATACACGAATTCGCGGTGAATGTTCCACCTGGATATAAATTGTCCGATACTCCCACACACATCATTTATCTCCCAGCCGTCGCGAAACGTTACCAATATTACGATACGTATAGTGGATCAAAACGGACAATTGATAAACCTTCGTGGAGAAGAGATATCTATTCGACTTCATGTACGACGCAGACGATAAAAAATATGCTCACGAACGAAAGATGCTCGTTCTAAATGAGTCGCACGATTGTAAGAATACATCCACCACAATCATTCCGCAGACATCGCAATTATCATTGCTCACCGAACGATATGTTGGAAGAAAGCAGAGAGGAACAGATTGAACGCTGCGAACGTCGCATTCTTACGATCCCTGGGATTCGTCGTGAAAAATGAGTCGCGATATTCTAAATATAGGGAGTGAGCCCATCTTTGATGATCGTATCGTTAAGATCGAGACTCACACTTACAACCCATACGCTAACACCACATTTGGATACAACGATGAAATACGAATACCTATACAACATCAGAATCTGTACACGTTACCGTGTGAGAGTTTGCTCTACGTCGAGGGAAAATTTTCAACGAAAAAACGAGATGGAAACACATCCGAAGAACATTCTCCACGACTATCGAATAATTGCGTCGCGTTCATGTTCGATGAGATTCGGTACGAGTTAGACGGTATGGAAATCGATAGATCTAGAAACGTTGATATTACCAGTACGATCAAAAATTTCGTATCGTTAACCACTAGCAAGAGTATAACGTTAGAAAATGCAGGATGGGACGACACAGTGCACTTATTTCGCACACCGCCATCCGAGGATTTCAACTTTTGCGTACCACTCAACACACTCCTAGGATTTTGCGAGGATTACAAACGCATAGGATTATAAACGCGCGACACGAACTTATCCTGATACGTGCGCGTAACAATAATAATTGCGTTGTGGCGCACGAATCGACGGAACCTAAAATCACGCTATTGAAGATACAATGGAAAATGCCACATGTAGTGCTAAATGATGTCAATAAATTATCACTTTTGCGAACGTTGGAAGATGGACGATATCTCAGTATGTGTTTCCAATCGTGGGACCTGTATGAATTTCTTCTACTTCAAAGCACAACGAAGCATTCGTGGGCTGTTAAAACAACATCGCAATTGGAAAAACCGCGATACGTAATTTTTGTGCTTCAAACTGGAAAAAGAAACGTACCGTCGCAAAATGCAACTACTCGACGTATGTAATCTCACTAATGTGAAACTTTTTCTAAATTCTAATTTTTATCCTTACGACGATATGAATTTAGATTTCGAACACAAGAAAGACGTTCTACGATATGTATGTAAAATTTCAAAAGACGTACTACTACGGTTACAACAATCGCGATGCTACGTTATCTATCGGGGAATTTCTTGTACACGGTCCATTCGTAATGATCGATTGTTCTCGCCAAAATGAATTGATAAAAAGCGCTACTGTGGATATTCGTATAGAATTCGAATGTAAGGAAAATATTCCACTGAACACTGTAGCTTATTGTCTTATTATTCACATAGGGTGATAGAGTACAATCCATTGACTAATGTTATTCACAAAATTGTATAATATATATATTTTTTTCAAGCTTTTTCCTACTTTATTGAATTTCACACACTATCATATTGTAATGTAAAACACATATTCCGTTAAATATATTATATCTTACAAAAATATTTATGATGTCATTTCCCTTTCCTCTTAGATAGATAAGAGTCTCATCTGAAAATATAAAAAAAGTACGAAACGCGATTCATTATTATTGACAAAGTGTTTTATCGTTTCTACTACATGTCGTATACATATATAAAAAAATCACGAAACGCGATTACTCTTGACAAAGCGTTCGAGTATACGAGTACATCGTTTCTACTGTGTGTCGTATAATTGTGTTACATTGCGATGTCTCTCACGTTCATCATTATCATCGTCTTCGTTACGATTACTACGACGACAACGACGAATCATCAAAGTATAGATACTGAAATAATTCTGTATCTACAAAAGTACGACTACTTGAGTAGTCACTGAAAACAATACGCAATTATCATTCGAAGAGGGAGAAATTAAACAGGCGATTTCATTATTTCAAGAATATTATCAAATAGGTGATGGTACATTGAATAACTATACGAGTACGTTGTATCAAATACGTAAATATACCATGATGTGATCTCCCAGACATTCTGCACCACGAGCAAAATACAGGTAGGAGGAAATGGGCGAAAACACATCTCACGTGGAACTTCCATTTAGCGGATGCGCACACCTTGAAAACTACCGCATTCGCGTTCTCGCTATGGGCAGCGAATTAGTCTTTATCGTTCGAACGTAAAACGTTAAATCCCGACATCTTAATATCTTATCGTAGTGGCACACACACGTACGCTGATCGTAAACGTAACGAAAAAATTTGCTCCTCTTCGTTCGATGGATCTGGTGGAGTACTCGCTCACGTGTTCTATCCTTCAAACGTTGTCAATTACACCGCTGAAATACACGTAGATAGTGCAGAACCGTGGCATATATATCTAACCGAAAAATCTGCTAGTAACAAGGACTGCTTAACACGTTAACACATGAAATTGGACACGCATTAAGATTAACACACAGTTCACGTGAAGACTCCATAATGTTCGCATTTGTCACTGCTAATAATAATAATAAAATCGTTAAAATCAACATAGAGGACATTTTAACCTCATTCAACAACTCTATGGAATGAAAAATCCAAGACTAACAACAACTACACAACCACCACCACCAACGTCAACTATCGAAATTACGACAAATAAACCCGAGTACATAGATCTCTGTACTTTACAATATGTGAATACGGTGTTGGTATTACGTCATCGAATATTCGTCACGTATCAATGTATGTGGTCGATAAATATAGATGATACAAAATACGACGGACCACAAGTACTAAACGTACTAAACAGCTACATGAATTTCCTTCCGAATAATTTCTCTTTATCAGCTGCATATCAAAAGCTTTCGGGTGAAATAGTACTGTTTGTAAATAATATAGTTTACGTGGTCGAGTGTCCCAGTTTCAAATTGAAAGAAGGTTGGCCAAAACGTCTCTCGAGTCTAGGATTTCCCCCGAACGCTTTGATCGATACCGTAGTAAATATTGGGTCGTCCGGAAAGTTCGTGCGTATTTTCCGCACGGACCTTTCCAGATAACCCAAGGTTGTCCGGAAAGTCCGTGCGGAAAATACGCACGGACTTTCCGGACGACCCAATACTAACAGAGGACAAACCTATGCAATCTTCAATAATAACAATGTGGCGCAGATAGACGAATGTAGTATGAGTGTTCGCTTATCAATCGTTACAAGCAGTATTCCCAGGAATACCGTCAGCTCCGACCTTGGCCTTCCGATATATGAATGGTAATCTGTACTTTGCCAAAAAACAACAAATTTAACGAGTTCATGAGAACCGTAACAGAGGCTGGTAAATTTAATATAATATCGTATATCGTACTCAACGTCGAATGTTCGAGAGACAGATTATTGTAGCAAATGCAAGATATCTTAGATCGACTAATTCGATCAAGTAATACATATTGACAAAACACAACGAGAAATAAGACGAAGAAGGAGGAGGAGGAGGAAAAGATGGAAGGACATATAACGTCGATCGATAACGTCAACAAAAAATTTTCGCAACTTTTCGCTATCGCGTCCACTGTCCCGAAATCTACGAACATGCTAAAAACGATATATGATAACGAATCCTTCGATCGCAACGACATACTTGATTGCAAGTTGATCGCTTTGGTTTTCGGAGAGCATTAATTGTGTATGTCATTTAGCGCTAACAATAAAACTATATTTTAAAATATAAAAAAGTATTTTATATATCTCTACCTTTATATATTGTATATCTTTAAATAAAGGAGAAAAAGGAAACTCGCGCTGATGCAAACTTTAAGGAAAAAAGTGGTAAAAGGAAAAAGGAAATGGGTGTGGAATCATATGATATATATAATTGTCACTCGCGCTGTCACAGACAGTCAATCTCGCGACTATATATAATATAAAGTGTAAAGTGAACGTAAATATAAAAAAGTGATCAAAATGTGTGACTTAAGAAAGCATCTACACATTAAGTACGAGTATCCAGTTAAAGGAGTAAGTTGTTCTTTTATTATCATTTTTTATTCCTTTTTGACTTTTTTTCTCATTTTCAGTACTTAATGGTTGATAATGAAAGAGTAAAAGGATTACAACTAAAAAATGAGCTTGGGGTGCAGATCATCCCCCTGGTAAGTTTTTTTACTATTTTCTACTCTATTTTTCTACCTACTATTAGTAAATACTTTTTTACTTTCTTCTTCCAGCCTATGTGGTGTGGCACACTCCATATAAAAATACGTGGATTCACGAACCACGAAGAGCGGCGCTGGATACGTCTTCGAAGATGGCATAGAGAAGACTGCCTCTATGACATGTGGAGAGATAGCTCCCCTATATCTGGAATACTATTCGGACTGGAGCCGTACGAGCTCCCATTCGAGTAAGTTATTTTATTTTCTCTTATTATATATAACTATTATACTAATATTAATCCTTTTTGATTTTTTTACAGACCGATGTGGGATTAAGTGAAAATGAATGAGCGAGAGCGGCGTTAGTGCAAATGAGCGTTAGTGCAAGTGCGAGCGAGAGCGAGCGAACGGCGTTGGTGCGAGTGCGAGCGAGAGCGAGCGAACGGCGTCGGTGCGAGAGCGAGCGAACGTGCGTGCGAGCTAATGACGTCGGATGAACGGCGTTGGTGCGAGCGAGAGCGAGTGCGACTGAGACAGCGCGTGCGACAGTGCACGCGGGAAAAAAACGCGCGAACTCCCTCAGTCACTCGTCTGCTCTCGAGCTTGTAAGATCGTCGTCACGTCGCGTCCCATCATGACGTCACGAGCTCACATACACATGCGCCCGTGGGGACCGGGGCCGAGGAGGAGAACTACGAGAGGTGGTAGGAGGAAAAAGCAGCTCATTGGCTGCCCCCCCGCACCACAATATCCCTCTCGCCCAGGTCCCCCCCCCGACTCCTCACTCCGCGGGAAACCCCATGGTTTTATATATATATAGCTTTACTGCTCATGCCGATATCTGGACCGATGGAACATACATTGATTGGAGGTTCAAAAGCTGTTGCACATATCCCAAAGGAGCAGTGAAGAAAATGGGACGAAAAGGCAAAACTGTATTTTACTCGGATATTTAGAACATACAAAAAGCTACAGGCTGACGACGAAAGAACTCAAAAGGTATTTAGTAGAGATGTAATGTTTTACGAAGATAAGACACCTGATACGAAAGACGAAGACGAGACTTCTGTTATCGTTTCTAAGAGAAATAGAAATTCAGTTCGCAAAGAAACGCCGATTCATGATAGGTTGTCTATTATGTTGCAAGGCAGCACTGACTCAATGAATTAAAGGAAACTGAAAGAAATTTTAGGTCTTGCAAAGTTAATAGCTTTCCTTCAATTCCTTTACCAGAAGCAAAAATTTCAGATAATACTGAAGATGGAGACGTGGTAGAAGACGCAGTAACTGCAGGTAATGACAACGAGGCAGATTAAGATTCGCAGGAGGAAGAAAATGCAACTGGACTTTGTAGAAGCAGTCATCCGTCCAAACCAAAAAGTTGGAAAGACTATTTTATCTAGTGCGTATATTAAATCAGCGGGAGCTGAGCCTTCAACTTACGAAAAAGCATGCAATATGTATAAAAAAAAATGGAATAAAGCGATGAAAGAAGAGTTTAATGCATTGATGAAAAATGAAACGTGGGAATTGTGTATGTCGCAAGACGGCAGAAAAATCTTGAAAACTAAGTGGGTATATAAGTTGAAACCCGATTCAAACGGATATCCATGATATAAAGCGAGATTAGTTGTAAAGACTATGAACAAATCCCTGGAGTGGATTATAATGAAACGTTTTGTTCAGTAATGAGATTCAACTCTCTCAGATGTTTATTTGCTGTTGCTATAAATCGAAATTACGATATAGAACACTTAGATGTTGTGATAGCCTTTCTCAATGATTATCTAGAAGAAGAAATTTATATGGAACAACCAGAAAGTTTCGTCAAGAAAGGACAAAAAAATAAAGTTTGCAAGCTCATGAAGGCATTCTATGGATTAAAACAAGGAGCATCCTCTTGGAAAAAGCTAGAACAGTCCTTTATGAAATAGTCAGTTTCAACAATCAGAAGTAGACAACAATCTGTATATATTGAAGAGGAGCGAAAAAGTTATGTATCTAACAACTTATATGTTAATCTTTTATAATTTACTAACGATCAAGATTTGAAAAGAATAATCATCAAGAAGCTCGAAAGTAAATTTAAAATGAGGAGTCTTGGTCCAGCCTTGAGGATCATTGGAATCAACGTTCACAGAAATCGAGAGAAGAAAAAGATCACTTTTGATCAAGAAGAATATTTAGAAAGTCTTGAAACATTTAAAAATAGAAAAATCCGGTTAAAACTCCACTTGATACAAATCTAAAGCTCTCGAAGGAGATGTCTGAAGAGGATATGCTAAAGAATGTACTCTACAGAGAAGTTCTCGTAGAACTAGAAGACTAATGTATGCTTTTCAAGCGATGTGATCGGATTTAGGATGCATAATTAACGCTAAGTTTCTTCTCGGAGAATCCTGGGAAACCACATTGGATTAAAGCGAGTTTTACGCTACATCAAAGATACTAAGGACTTGAAGTTTAAATTCGGTGAGGCAAAAATAGCAAAACTAGTTGATAATTATAGCGACATTAATTGGGCTGGTGATATCAATAGTCGTCGTTCTACGAACAGTTATGTTTTTATGCTAGGAAATAATACTGTTTGATGTAATATTGTAATATTGTTGAGGTTTCCACGGTGCTTCTTATATAAAGATTATGCGTTTCGCGGGTTTCTTTCGTGTCCAGATCCATTCTTGGAATGCCAACGTCTCGTGATCAGGACGAGAAGCAGCCTGATACTAGCTGTTCCACCGGCCGTTCCTTTTATATTACGCTACTTGTTAGAGTGGTGGGGGGAAAGAAGAGAATTGTGGGTAGGGGAGGAGGGGGAGTGGGGGAAATTGGTCGGTCTTCAATAACCGGGAGAATGATTTTCCATATTTTATTTATGTTGTAGCCATTATCTCTATTTAGATTGTTAGGGTGTTTTTGTATTTCTTTATACTTTCTTACAAAGTATGATGTAATGTTGGCTATTATGGTCGTGAACTTTAACGCTTAATATTTCGGTTCGCGGGGCAGAGCAACACTTTTTTTGCCAGATTCTTTCGTTTTATGCAAAACCGCGTCGAATAAGCTTAATTTCATCAAAATTAGCAAACAGGGTATCAATCATGAAATCCTTTTTTCCTAGGATGAAAAGTGAAAAATTAAAAATTTCTCCATTAAGTTCAATGGTTAAAATTTTTACTTTTCACTTTCCATCCTAGGGATAAAGTTTCATGATTGATACCCAGAACACAATTCTTGAGTATTATCCAGATTCCCCATCCAAATGTTCCAAATATCGCATCAATTCTACCGCCTCTTGGCGCGTTTGGATTTCTCAGAGTGCGATTACATGTAGCGCGGTACGCGGTGCAGAAATTAATTAGGTAACTATAGGAACCGCGCAAACCGTACTGCTTGTTTCTTTTGTCCTTTATTAAGGTGATGTCTCATGCAGCGAATCGTGCGTAAACGGATATGCATATTGCCAATCACAGAATCATTCTCTTAGATCTGCTTGCGAAATTTGCAAACAGATCTAAGAGAATAATTTTGTGATTGGCGATACGCGAATCCGCTTACGCACAATCCGCTGCATGGAATATATATCATGGCCGCATAAGCAAATCGACTAATCAGAATCTTTTCTTTCTTTCCATTTCATGGAAAAGAAGAATTTTGATTGGTTGATTTCTTTATGCGTTATGTGTTATGCAAAAATCTGTGCTGCGGCTTTCACCCTTGCATATAGCGCGATAAGTGGCACCGGCCAATTGCTAGATTTACACTGGATCTGGCGTGCGTCATATGACGTTTTACAACCAATTAGAAAGCAGAATTTTATTTCGTATCAATGATACAAAATTTTGTTTTCTGATTAGTTGCAGAGAGTCGTACGACGCATGGCGGATCCAATGTGAATCCAGCAAGTGACAAATTCATGTTACTAAGCACTTTTTAATAAAATTAATTTATTTAAATGCAATTATTAAGTAAATCCATTGAAAAAATGAGAATATTGATGAAATGTGCATAGAAATAAGTTAATATACTTTAAAAAATTCATATTAAAGTTTATTTGTCACTAGTCCGTGCCTCTTACCGCGCTATATGTAATCATACCCTCACTCAGGTGATTTCTAGAAACTAGAGTCTATTCTTCCAGTCATCCAGCCATC